GCGTTAATACGAATTACAGCTGAGAAGGGGGGAGGGGGGGGGGGACAACTGATAGACTGCCCGCTGCCTCCCGGGTCGCTCTCGCGACTCTAGAGGCCCCTGCCGCCGCCAACAACAGGGAGCAACCGCGCCGCCAATTCCCTACTCGCCGTCGCTGGAGGAAGCCTAAGGGCAAAGCCCAGCGGCTGACGGTGGTGGCGAGGACGCACGCCGCGCGCGGCCGCGACCCTCCCTGGTCCATCTCCACTCGCCAGATCCAGATCCATCTCGTCCTCAGCTCCGAGCGTGTTCCGGACCCTGCTGTGTGTCGACGCTCCACCACCTCCCTGCTACTGCCTCGCCCCATCTCGCGCTGCCGCGCAACGTCCACTTTCACCGTGGTCGTCGGCGTCCTCCACCGTTCAGATCCGGCCGGTGCTCGCCGCTTTCGACCTGCGCCGCCATCCTCCGCATTGACCCTCCTCTGCTTCGGGCCGGTGTGCCACGGCTAGGGGATCCATGCTGCCCGCCTTGTGCGGGTCTTGGTCTGTCTGCTCGTCCTGCCTGGGTGGTGCGGGGTGGCAGCCCGGCCTCCTTTGCTCTGCTTCATCCCCAGTGCTTGCGCCGGGCCGGAGTACCTATGCCGGTTGGCTGTGCCTTTGAGGTCCCCTACATCGACGACCAAGCACAGGTGCATCGGATCTGCCATGTGTAGTGTCCGACCTGGCCGTCTTCACCATGCACTCCATTGCGTGCTACCCCACCCCCCTGTCGGCTCCTCGACTCTCCATCACCCCACGCCTGCCTCTCCTTCGACCCCTATGGATGGTGGCCCGCCGGTCGTCAATTTGCATTGCTTCGGCTATCGGAGCTACTCTGACGACGTCGACCTTGATCTGGTACTAGCTGTGGGAGAAATCCCTGCTGACCCATGTGTCAGCTGACCACGGCGGCGCCAATCCAGTGTCGTTTTCCTTCCTGGAGGCATGGTCTTTGAGCTGTACCTGCTTGGTTTGGGCTCTCCTCCATGTCGACGGCGCGGTTTGCAACTTCACGTCCATATGGTGAACTTCTCTGCACTCTGTGTGACCTTTCCATTTTGCTTCAACCCACTCATCTCCGACTGTCCTCCCCAAACGGTCGCCAACATTGCCTCCTCGTCGAGCCCTTCGCCACCATCCATCTGCCCATGCCCATCATTTAGTGTGTCATCCATGTTGGTGTGTTCTTCATGTGATTTCTCTTCGGCTGCCCATCGTGTGGTCTCCGTACTGTTGTTGTGCATGCTCAAGCCCTCCCATGGTTGCCGTTGTGCTGCAGTGAGCTTCGGGCTCTTGGTGTTGTCTTGGTTCACCTTTGCTCAATGATGACGCAATGATGCCTCCCCAACCTGCTAATCGTCTTGACCGCTCGTGGCGGATCTTTCAGTCAAGGTTCGTGTTATGGTT